TTGTAAATTAGTTTTCAATTAACTGCTTAGTGGACAAATCCCAAACAGTAGATTTTTAGCGATTTCTCCTAATCGTGAGTGAAGAATTAAAGATGCAATCCATTTTTTAATATGTGCCTTCGTTGGACAACCCGTGATGAATTACTAAAATATCTGCCGCGGAGGTCTAAGCTTTAACGCAATTAAATAACTAAGATGTCGTTCTTGACTTTCTAGACCAAAAAATGACATTGTAACAGAAATGTACTGTCTTGAAATACAGAGAACGGGTAACATGTATGAGAGCACTGATGCCTAAAATTAGTGAGACTCTTTGAAAACCAGCTAAACTTGTCAGCTCATTACTCTGACAGACCCCAGGTCCCAGCGATATTACATTTTGTGCTATTTTGGTGACTGATTAACTGGCATGTCTGTGCCGATGCTGTTAGACCTGCTAATGACCTCTGTACTGCACTACCACTTGTCAGGACCCAATAAAGATGTTCATCCCACAACATTTATTTTTATAAGCCTTATTATTTATATAAAGAAGAGTTTAAAGCAGGAATTTCAAAAGGAAGACCCCCAGCAATTGAAAACGTCCACTGTCGTGATGTTTTGCCGCTTATGGCTGGTATAGCATTATGAGAATTGTAGTTTTTCAACACCCCCTAAGGGTCCTCACTTTTATCTGCCCCTGTTTTAAAATATTCTGGACCTTTTCAGATCCAGTGCATTTCATGAGTAGTGGCCCTAAATTACTTCTAAGATATTGGTCCCAACATTTTACATTTCAGGGGTGTGGGGGGACCAGGTGTCCAGGGGATGTGCTATTTGCGAAATTTTAGGTGACTTACTAATAAAAATTTATATAACTAAAATGTAATTTAGAAAAAGAACCATGTATCTTATTTCCACAGACTATTTCTAAACACATTTATTGTAGTGTAAAGACACATTACTGGGAGTATTATTGCTGTGGAGCTCTGTTATACACTCAGACACATTACTGGGAGTGTTATTGCTGTGGAGCTCTGTTATACACTCAGACACATTGCTGGGAGTGTTATTGCTGTGGAGCTCTGTTATGCACTCAGACACATTACTGGGATCATTATTGCTGTGGAGATCCGTTATACACTCAGACACATTACTGGGATCATTATTGCTGTGGAGATCCGTTATACACTCAGACACATTACTGGGAGTATTATTGCTGTGGAGATCCGTTATACACTCAGACACATTACTGGGAGTATTATTGCTGTGGAGCTCTGTTATACACTCAGACACATTACTGGGAGTATTATTGCTGTGGAGCTCCGTTATACACCCAGACACATTACTGGGAGTATTATTGCTGTGGAGCTCCGTTATACACTCAGACACATTACTGGGAGTATTATTGCTGTGGAGCTCCGTTATACACTCAGACACATTACTGGGAGTATTATTGCTGTGGAGCTCCGTTATACACTCAGACACATTACTGGGAGTATTATTGCTGTGGAGCTCTGTTATACACTCAGACACATTACTGGGAGTATTATTGCTGTGGAGATCCGTTATACACTCAGACACATTACTGGGAGTATTATTGCTGTGGAGCTCCGTTATACACCCGGACACATTACTGGGAGGATTATTGCTGTGGAGCTCCGTTATACACTCGGACACATTACTGGAAGGATTATTGCTGTGGAGCTCCGTTATACACTCGGACACATTACTGGGAGGATTATTGCTGTGGAGCTCCGTTATACACTCGGACACATTACTGGGAGTATTATTGCTGTGGAGCTCCGTTATACACTCGGACACATTACTGGGAGTATTATTGCTGTGGAGCTCTGTTATACACTCAGACACATTACTGGGAATGTTATTGCTGTGGAGCTCCGTTATTGGTGTGGAGCTCTGTTATACGCTCAGACACATTACTGGGAGTATTATTGGTGTGGAGCTCCGTTATACGCTCAGACACATTACTGGGAGTATTATTGTTGTGGAGCTCTGTTATACGCTCAGACACATTGCTGGGAGTATTATTGCTGTGGAGCTCGGTTATACGCTCAGACACATTGCTGGGAGTATTATTGCTGTGGAGCTCGGTTATACGCTCAGACACATTGCTGGGAGTATTATTACTGTGGAGCTCCGTTATACACTCAGACACATTACTGGGAGTAGTATTGCTGTGGAGCTCTGTTATACACTCAGACACACCAACAACATGGAGCTTCTAGAAAAGAGGGACAAAGGGATTTGGGCCAAAAATAGGGACTGTCCCTCCTGAATAGTGACAGTTGGGAGGTATCACATGTCTGTGCTACTCTCCTTGCTGTGTCCCAGCCCAATGTCCAGATCAAACGATTAAGCAACATTTTGAAGCTGCTATGAGTTGGTTACTGTGTTATCTTTATTCGTTGGTACAGTATGATCAGTGACCCAAATTACTTCCACTGCGTGACCTTTAATAGTATGTTTACAATACGCACAGCTGGAGGGTATCAGCTGATTTTATTTTCAATTCTCCATTCTCATGACTAATTGTAAGAAAGCGATGATTGTTTCTCCTTTCAGTGCCATAAAAGAGCTGTCACTTCTCACACCATTCCAGTAACTGTATTTAAATGAGTAAAATCATAGTAACCTTTCTTAATAGTTCATCTACATTCATTCTGCAGGCTGGCTGAGGTTAATGTGGATGTCTGCAGCTGTCTATATTTGCAGAGATCTATGCTTTTTTTCAATATGTTTCTTTGTATGGGAGAATACGATGCCCAGTCTCACAGACATTACCATCTCAGCACATGGCAACATGTGGATACGTGTGTTCTAACCACATTTTATACTTTAACCAAGACACGCATGGCAGAAGTCAGGTGAGATCTCAGAATTGCATGTTTTTGCTAATGTGAATAGGTCCTTTTTTAAGGGTTACTATAACCCTTTGAGAAGGGGCGCTTATAAGATGTAATATGTCATATTGGGCACTCTGGAGAAGGTCCTCCCTCTTAATGCACTGTAAAACGTGTAATAAAACAATTTTACTTACCAGAAATTCAGCACCGGGCGAAGCTCATGGGACTGCTCTTCAATGTCCATTCCTGACATCACAGGGCCCTCACCCCGTCCTATCACAGGCTACCAATTTGGTGGCTCAGAGCGCATGCGCACACTTCGGACAAGCGCGGTGAGGGTGGGAGGTGGAGGGAGTGTACTGGTCCTGGAATCAAATGCTGCTGATATAACTAGAGTAGTGAAGCGTTTGGCCGCTCATGCCTAGTTATAGTCCATTAATGGCTAGAAGGAGAGCGAGGGTGATGTCAGAAGTGATCTGGGTGCCTATAGTGGTCCTTTAACGATAGTTATTAGCAGGACAATAGGTTCCCTTTAAGCCAAGTACAATACAGAGAATTGAGGTTCTCTCTGTGATGGTGCACTTTGCAGTATAGGTAATCTGTGATCTATTAAACTCACTAACTCTAGGCATTCCTTGCTCTGTATATTACAGAACCATTCTCTAAGGTACTACCTTGGCACAGCAGAAGCATGTGGACTACATCGCCCCCGTGAAGCTCCATGCCAAATAAAGGCCTCCGTTTAATACTGTTAGATAAGATTTTCAAATGATTTAATATTTTTGTATAAACTTTTAAATTATACAATTTTGAAGAATATTTGACTATGTTGATTGATCAATAACATCAAATCGAGGCCAGTATCAGAAATGTGAAACTATGATCGTAACACGAACTTTGTTAGGGAGAATCAGGGTTTTGTTGTGCTGACTTTCCTTGCAAATTAACTTGTTAAAAAAAGGTACCACGATCTGTTTGAGAATAATCCTGATATAACATTATCAATCACTTGGCCCCCATGCCCCCAAGCGATCACGCAAGTCCTGCACAAGCCATCTGTCACCACGTGTTCTCTCTAAGTAGGAACCTCCGCCATGACGGATCAAATCAATAAAACTAACACCAAGGTCCCTCACGGCCTAACAAGCAAATTAGAGTGTCACCCTTAGGGTTCAGATATTTGATGGCTAATCTTAGCCATTGATGGATGCTGGTACATTGTGGCAGATCTGGTCTCTGTTATGCACTAAACCATGAATTGTTGGGAATTCACCAGGGAACGTCAGCCAATAGCAATCAATATCCGAAAAGGAAAAGCTAAAAAAAACAAAAAACATTGGCCTTACATGCGTCATTTTCTGGTGAATTTTTGACAATTCACGGTTTAGTGAATAAAATGGTATATTTCCCATGATGCTCAGCATGCGCTCTGTTTGTATCTGTTCGCATTGCCGCATGCTGGGAGTCTGGGATCACTTGCAAAACATTTGTAGCTGTAATGCGATGTTTTGGGGACATGGGGTAAAAATATCAAATGCTGCAGAAAAATGACATCCAGATGCCACAGGAGAGTCACATTGTGCAGCAATGACTTATGAAGGAGGATTTGGCTCATTCAAGGGCGTTCTATCACCAACTCCCCAAACAGTTTACAAGATGTGGCCGCTGTATTTAGCCAGCCAGCAGGTTTAATTCCCAGTGCTGACTATACTGAAATATTTTCTGCAGACACACATTCATCCAAAGAACGCAGAATACAGGCTGTAAGGCAGCGATGGCTATCTGTAACAATGCGATGTGAGTGACCTGAAGGCCTTTTAGCTAACTAAGTATTATTGGAAATGTACATCTGCAAAGCCACAGTCAGCCAACGCTGCTCTATGATCGTAGTTGGAGACATTTCTGTTTGACACATTGACTATCACTCTCCCCTATTATGGCTTTATTCCTTGATGCTCGGTAGCTATATATCATGCAAAGCATCATGGGAGATGTAGTTTTCCCACAGCTGGAGAGACAGAAATAGCCAAATCCCTCAGCAGTCACAGAGGATGTTGAAGGATAGAAGTGGGGATGTCTTTTTTTATATGTACTAAGGTTGGGTATCGCTATTACCAGACTCTTTATTAGACGCAAACGAAAGAGACTTTGGGAAACAAATGTCATTTATTTACATCAAAAGTCACATTTTGTGAACTTCCAAATAACAAAACCTTTAGGAAAGTCTCGACGTGTTACCATGGTAATACGATACAGTAAAAAGTCAAACCACAAACCCCAAATCCCTCTAATAATCCTAATATACAAAATCCAAAAATTACAAACTAGAGAAATAGTTCACTTCTCATTTACACAATCTCATTACTAACTCGTCTGCCAAATCATTAGAAATCCTTCAAGGAGAGTTCGGTAAATTCATGAAAAACGTGAACTGTCTGCGGAGTACCGGTAACGGCCTTGCAGTTCCCCTTCTCCTTGTTCTGTGTAAGGGACCGTCCCGTCACCAAAACCTCCAGAAATATTCTTTACCATAGGACACGACAGACACCAAATGTAATACCATGGAGCTCTCTGCATCATTGCATAGACGGCTGCAAGGATTTCAGAGAGGGGCTTCCCTGCTCCCTCCACTAGACCAACAATGTCTAACCCTAGTAAGTCAAATGTTTCCCAGTATGTTCAGCCATGATTTTGGCTGGCTGAGGATCATGGGATCTGTAGTTCACAAACATCTGGGGTTAGCATTTTATAACATTTTGGGGGGAGAGCGTCAGTCTCTGAATGAGAAACATGTACAGGGTTATTCACAAAAGTGAGATTTCAGAGTGAATTTCACATTTAAGACTGAAGTAGCTGAATTGGAAAAATTCACCAAGCCAGTTCAGCTACTTTGGTCTAAAATGTGAAATTCACTTTGAATTCTTACTTTTGTGAATAGCTGTGATAAACATTGAAACCCTGAATGTAATGTATTGTTTGTCAGTCTGTGAAGTATAATTGATAAGGACTATTGAGTGCCAGAGGGTGAGCTATACCTTGACTGTACATATGGAAGGGTTAATTGCTGCAAAAATATGGAATGAATATCTGATTGATACAGGATTATCCGTTACAGCAGGTATTGTCAGGGACTCACATTGAGTTTAAAATTTTAGGCCGAAGTAATCAAATTGGAAGATTTCTTTCCCAGTTCTTTTATTATGGTCTGAAATTCACTTTGAATTTACTTTGAATTGCCAGAAATTCACACACTTCTCAGAATTCAGAAAAACCGCAATCGGGTTAATTTATGGCAGTGAGCGAGTTTAAATCCTAATTTCATAAAATTCCATAGGAAGCCAGCTGCACTGCAATGTTATTTCCTCTCTGCAACCAATTTGGTGATCCATAAAAGGTGCATCCCTTCCCTGTAATGCTATCTCCTTACTGGAAGCACTGGCTCGTTGGCGGCTGCGGTAATAATCTGGAATTGTGGAATTTCTGTTTGATATTCTATTACAGCAAAAAAACAGTCGTGTGATTTAGCCATTCAGTGTCAACTGTCACAAGATACAAAGGACGGGTTGTAGGGAAGGGAAATTGGGCAATCGATCTATAGCTCAAGTCGTTTAAAAATCCCGACCAAGAAATTGTACAGAATATTACTGATGATCGGCTAAACTACAATGTATTTCCTGTACGGCCAGCTGGCAATTTGACCAACATTAATGCACATGATATCACATATCTCTCCAAGCTCTCAGAGACAGATAATCATATAAATTAATTATTGTTGTTATGGATTAAGGATCGATTTTTTTATTTTTATTTATAAAAATGCCCATTGTGAATTCAGTGTTAGGAAAACAATAATTTGGTCAATAACCCATTATTCATAATGTTACAGTTAAGATTTTTTTTTCTGGTTTTTACAATTAACCAGTGGCCCTGTTCACACCAAATCCCCGGGGTGACTATTTGATACCACTGACGCCCTCCCACCCCCATACAAAATAGTCAGATTTCAAATCTGTTTGGCAAATGCTGCAGCGTGGCTGAAACTCCAGAAATAATTTAAACGGATATGAACGATCCTTGATCTTTGTTGATTGATTCTGGGTCCACGCAGCGCCCTTTCTTCCTGGTGACTCTCTGATTACGGTGAAATTTGGCATAGCAGCGCAGACCTGCAAAAAAATTAAAAATTTAAATTAAGAAAAATGACTGACAATGGTATTGGTCAACTTATACAGGTTGGGTTAAAAAAAAATTCCTATTTTCCTCAGCCAGTCAATATGTCAGTAGTCTGATGCCAAGTGCAATAGTCTATCCCGGTTCCACATTTATAGCGACTGCTGGCAAGCAGAAAGAAAACACCACAAATTACCCCTCAAACGTTATTCACCAAACAGGAAACTGAGGAAAATGAGAAAGAATTGCAATACTCTGCAATTAAAACCAAAAATATCAAATTCATCAATTTTTTTCACAACTAAAATTTGCTATTTTTTTTTTTTTTGATTCTACACAATTCCTGGAGATTAGTGAAACTATTATTTAATAAACAATATCAGACTCATTAAACTCCGGCAGCCAGGCCGATGGATGTCCGCACCTTCTGTGCACATGCAGTCATCGTAGCACTTATTGTTCAACCCTCGATTGTGCGCTTTGCAGAGATGTTCCCGCAGATCACAGCAGGAACCTGGGGAAATAAAAGAGTAAAGACGATCTACTGACTGGAGTGATTAATGCATGTACTCTCAGCCTAAGCACATTTTACAACCAGATGGGAAGCCTGAATGTACATGTGTGTAGTCAAACATGTAAAGCACACATATGTAAAACAGTTTCTTGTGTACACACACACACACATGAATCCAAACCTCCCAACATTGGGAGATATGAAGATTGGGATGGGTGGGCAGGCCAGTGTAAGCATTTAATATTTTTTTCATTGGTGGTAAAAAAAAAAAAAGAGCTTGCAAAAGCTGCAAATCTCTTGTCTGCAGCCTTTGCAGGCCCTCCCCTTCTAACCCCACCCTGACTTTCTGTGGCTGTCCAATCACAGACTTCCAAATACACATCAATGAGAAGTCTTTGCAAGGCAATTGCTGCCTCTTGAGTTTAACTTCACTGAGCTAAACAAACCAGGAAGTAACAGATCTGTTGTCTGATTGACAGCCAGGGGGTTGTAAAAAGGTGCATTTATAAAAGTGTACATTTCTATTAAAAATCTCCACTTTTTTGTAAAAAAAATAAAAAAAATGGCCATGCACTCTTCACACATAAACTGCCCATTTAAGCAGAGAAAAAAAAGTAATATTCAGGACGACTATATTTGAATAAGTCAGTCAGAAAGAATATAGATGTGTTTGGCACGTCCCCTTACCTGGGAGGCAATCGAGATGGTGATCACATGGCTCTACCTCAGCCATTGAGGTTGTATTAAATTTATCTTTCTGCTTCCCTGTAAGAAACAATAAGCAGTGTTACAGTTTCCATTTGTCAAGTTGTGTGTTTGTGTTCTCTTAGTAACATTGTTTTTGTGATTGTATTTTTATGATCTCTCAATTACATAGTTTCTGTTAGTTATATTATTTGTGATCTCTCAAAAACACTCTTTCTGGGAAATTAGTGACACGTTACAGCATAACAGACCTCACATTGTGATAATCGTGCAGGATTTACTGAATACCCAGCTGGATTCAATACGGGGTGTGTAAACTTTTCTCCATTTTCTGGCAAAGTCTGTTTACCTTTCTTTTTTGGGGATGGCCAGGTATCCGGCTTCAAGTCTTCATAATCCGTCCAATCAAAAAGCCCCATATCCAGTGTTGGCGCGACATCACCGCCTTTTTTTGAATGAGACTGCAAGCCAGAAGGCGAGTATTGTATCAGGGTTTCAGACATGGAAATGTTACTATTTGCTAGGTTTTAAAATGGCACAAAAACCCAAGTGTGCCTGGTATATAAACCACTGGCAATCCAGCAATGTTAGCTGCCATGACTTCAGCCAGGGATTTCACATACAAAGTCAGCTTTAAAATCTTCTTATTCATCCTAAGCTTAAAAGGAATCTGCCGATTCACCTACTAAATCTACCCATCGAGAGCTTTGCCATTCTGAGAATAGACCTATCTGTCCTGAGATCCTTTGATTATACTCAAATATCTCAAGAATATGATCAATCAAAAATGCACCATAATCTGCCCATTCACCCTGAGAATCTGCCCATTCACCCTGCGACCATGTGAATCTGTCACATCTAGACATTGAGAAAATGACAATAAACCCTGTGAATCTTCTCACTGGCCCTAACAGACTGAGAATCCACCCAAAATTTACACTGGAATCCTGATATTCTACTTCCTGTCCTGAACTTCTGTCCATATACCAAAACGGTTCTAATCATCTACCCAACTGCTCTGGGACTCTGTGACATGATTCTATATAATGATAGAAACATAGAAACATAGAATTTGACATGATTCTATATAATGATATCTTTACCCGGACGCGATGTGAGGTATCTAACGCCGCTGTGGGATGCTCGGCAACTGGCGATTGGCTGCCTGTGCTGAGGGGATATGCAGGGCCAGGGGCACTTGGAGAGATATCCAGACGAGTCAGGTGGGGGGTCACTTTAAAGTTTAAATCCTCTTTCATGAGACTGCTGGGTTCAGCTTCAAAGCCTCTGCCTGCAAACATACAAAGACACAGATTAGAAAGCAGGATACCTTAAGGCAAGCAGGGCTTTGTCCTTCCCCAGCCAACAAGCTGTGGCTTCAAACCTAGGCCTTGATTTCATATTTTTGGATACATTTTCTTTCCCTCAAAATTATTCCAATATCCAAAACTATCCTATACTTTATTTATATGTTGCCATTCAGTTTCCAATTCAGTACAATTCTGTGAGAATAATCCTGTCTGTGTGGCAGTGGAAGAGGAGGATAGAAGGACAGTGTTGTAGAAGAGCTACAGATCAATTTCTTTAGGGGTCCCTGTCCCACCGTCCTGTTTGGATCATATCTGAATTAGAGAATATTTTCAGTTTGGCTATTTTTACCTTGAATTTGAAATTCACTTTAGATTCACTGCAAATAGAAGCCTCAGACGCCCACGTCTCTGCAGGCCATTGCTGTTTGTATCAGAGTTGATGTTTTACACAAGTTCTGTGCCAGGGAGCCCCAATTCACTGACGTCATGCGGCTGAGATAGAATGCCCCCTTTATCTCTGTGAATGTCACTTTGGCATGTGCCCATGCAGAGCCAGCACAAACCCACCCACTGCCCCCCTCCCTTCCTGGCTTTATAGTCCTCATCTCCGCAATTAGTGCATCTACCTGTCCTGGGCTTTGCTTCCTCTCCATCCTCTATCTGCCCTACCACACAAAAATAGGGTAAGACAGGGAAGCATATCCATGATATACCTGCTAGTCCTCCATGCCACTTTCCAGGACAGAGAGCAGGATGCACAGAGCGCTGTACAGGGGACGGGTCTCCCCATTAAGGCTGGCAAGCTTACCCCTAAACAGGGCTACCAAACTGACTGAAAGCCTGCCCCCTTAAGGAGACCATGCCCAGTCCCCTCCTGCATTTTGAAATCTGCCAGTAGATTTCAAAATAAGGGACTGTTTCCTGGGACCTATTTTTGCAGTGCCCCAAAATGAGGGACTGTTGACACAAATGTGCTGGTTACTGGCCATGGATACAGACCCTGGGGGTCAGGAAAGGTACAAACACACTACATGGGGTGTTCCCTCACCCATCACACCTGCAGCAGGTACGTATAGGTTACAAACCAGCGATTTAAAGGAGAACTGCCCTGATAAAACCCAGGGGATGGCAAATATCTATCTATCTATCTATCTATATCTCATATAAACACAATTAGAAGTAACAGGATTGTGTGTTTTCTGCTTCTGTTGCAATTCTACACTGATAACTGCACAAACCTCTTGTGTAAACTTCATATTTATCAGCAATTACAACATACTGGTTGCTTCCTATTAAATTGAATTCATTTATCTAAATTAAACCTCCCCACTGGCTGCTACTGTTTATAAATTCACATCTAGTATCACCGCAGGAATTAAGTACATGACTTGAGAGCTGGTGGGGCCTGTTCTGGTATAATCTCGTATTTTACTCCCACACATAGTTCTAAGTCCCTCGATTAGCTGAGACTCTTGTAATGAACAATTCTCGGTTAATAGTTCTCCAGTAAAATGCTGGATTCCCAAGTGTTTGCAGAAAAGAAGCAATCTTGAGTTTAATATTGGACTTTGCATTCATTACGAGTGGTGTATACAAATCGTAGAATCACTTCTAATCGTAGAATCTTACTGTAAGTTTTTTTTTGTTTTGTTTTTTTTTACATATAACACGTCTACGTTTTATATACCTGCGCCTCTCAAGACAACCTCTCCAATGTGACAGTAACGCTAAAGTAGTCAAACTGCGTTTGGTGCCCACTTCAGATATAGGTAAACTCAGACACATTACTGGGAGTATTATTGCTGTGGAGCTCTGTTATACACTCAAACAGACATACATACACACACATACACACACAGATAGATATATACATACACAGATACATACAGACATACTGACATACACACACACAGACATACATGCATACTGACATACATACTGATAGTTATATACATACATACACACTGACATACACACATACATATATACATACTGACATACACACATGCATACAGATAGACACATACACACATACATACACACATACACAGACATACATAGACATACATACTGACATACATGCATGCATACTGACATACACACAAACAGACATACATACATACATACTCGCAGACACATACACAGACAGACATACTGACAAACAGACATACACACACAGACATACATGCATACTGACATACATACACACATACTGACATACACACAGACATATATACATACTGACATACACACAGACATATACACACAGACATACATACTGACATACACACAGACATACACACAAACATACACACAGAAAGATACACACATACCATACTAACAGACACAAATACTGAAACAGACATACACACATATAGACACATACACAGATACAGATACACACACACACACACTGACGTACGTACATACATACTCACATACTGACACACATACATACAGACATACATACAAACTGACATACAGACATACAAACACATACACACACATACAGACACAGACACACAGATAGATACATACACAGATAGATACATGCATACATACTGACATTCACACACAGACATACATACTGATAGATATATAGATACATACTGACATACACACACACACACACATACATACATACTGACATACACACACACATACAGATAGAAACATACACACAGACATACATGCATACATACTGACACACACACAGACATACATACTGACATACATGCATACTGACACACACAGACAGACATACTGACATACACACACAGACATACATGCATACTGGCATACATACACAGACATACATACATACTGACACACAGACATACTGACACACAGACATACACACACACAGACACACACACTGACATACATACACACAGACACACACTGACATACACACACACATACATACAGACATACATACAGACATACATACACACAGACACACACACTGACATACACACATACTGACATACTCACACAGACATATATACATACTGACATACACACACAGATACATAAAGACATACACACATACTTGCAGACACACACACACCTCATCTATCAGCCACCCTCCTCTTACCTTTACGTTGCAGGAGGGTGGCTGGGGATGATGGGAGTGGATGCCTCTGGTGTCCCTGTCCTATCCTCTCCTCCGCTCTCCCTCTCCCCCCGCGCGGAGTAAGCTGGGAGGAAGTGACCGGCTGTCACTTCCTCCCAGCAGCACTTGCGGTGTAGCCGCAATTTTTTTTTAAAGGGGCTCGGTCGCGCAATTACCCGGCCGCAGCGCTGACCGGGCCCTTGAAGATATGGGGCCCATCGGGTGGCCCTAAATGCTTGGGCCAACTGATGGGCCCCGGTGCAGACGCACCTGCGGCAGTTTCGCCACTCCACGTTATGGTTGTCACCCCCTGATGGTGGCCGTGATTATCACTGTGGAGCTCAGTTATACACTCAAACACATTACTGGGAGTATTATTGCTGTGGAGCTCTGTGATACACTCAGACACATTACTGGGAGTATTATTGCTGTGGAGCTCTGTTATACACTCAGACACATTACTGGGAGTATTATTGCTGTGGAGCTCTGTATACACTCTAGACACATTACTGGGAGTATTATTGCTGTGGAGCTCTGTTATACACTCAGACACATTACTGGGAGTATTATTGCTGTGGAGCTCTGTTATACACTCAGACACATTACTGGGAGTATTATTGCTGTGGAGCTCTGTTATACACTCAGACACATTACTGGGAGTATTATTACCGTGGAGCTCTGTTATACACTCAGACACATTACTGGGAGTATTATTGCTGTGGAGCTCTGTTAGACACTCAGGCACATTACTGGGAGTATTATTGCTGTGGAGCTCTGTTATACACTCAGACACATTACTGGGAGTATTATTGCTGTGGAGCTCTGTTATACACTCAGACACATTACTGGGAGTATTATTGCTGTGGAGCTCTGTTATACACTCAGACACATTACTGGGAGTATTATTGCTGTGGAGCTCTGTTATACACTCAGACACATTACTGGGAGTATTATTACTGTGGAGCTCTGTTATACACTCAGACACATTACTGGGAGTATTACTGCTGTGGAGCTCTGTTATACACTCAGACACATTACTGGGAGTATTATTACTGTAGAGCTCTGTTATACACTCAGACACATTACTGGGAGTATTACTGCTGTGGAGCTCTGTTAGACACTCAGGCACATTACTGGGAGTATTATTACTGTAGAGTTCTGTTATACACTCAGACACATTACTGGGAGTATTATTGCTGTGGAGCTCTGTTATACACTCAGACACATTACTGGGAGTATTATTGCTGTGGAGCTCTGCTATACACTCAGACACATTACTGGGAGTATTATTGCTGTGGAGCTCTGCTATACACTCAGACACATTACTGGGAGTATTATTGCTGTGGAGCTCTGTTATACACTCAGACACATTACTGGGAGTATTATTGCTGTGGAGCTCTGTTATACACTCAGACACATTACTGGGAGTATTACTGCTGTGGAGCTCTGTTAGACACTCAGGCACATTACTGGGAGTATTATTGCTGTGGAGCTCTGTTATACACTCAGACACATTACTGGGAGTATTATTGCTGTGGAGCTCTGTTATACACTCAGACACATTACTGGGAGTATTATTGCTGTGGAGCTCTGCTATACACTCAGACACATTACTGGGAGTATTATTACTGTGGAGCTCTGCTATACACTCAGACACATTACTGGGAGTATTATTACCGTGGAGCTCTGTTATACACTCAGACACATTACTGGGAGTATTATTACTGTAGAGCTCTGTTATACACTCAGACACATTACTTGGAGTATGATTGCTGTAGAGCCTGTTATACACTCAGACACACCAACAATGTGGAGCTCCTAGAAAAGAGGGACATTAGGATAGAAAAGAAAGACAGAGGGCATTGGGCCCAAAATAGGGACTGTCCCTCCTGAATAGGGACAGTTGGGAGATATGAATTATCAGATGACGCTCTCAGTCAATAAATTCAATCCAAAGACAGGCAAAATTGATACCACTAACCTGGAATTAGGGACTTCTGCTTTAATGATATATGAAGAGGAACTGTAATGTGCAAACTGTAAGTTTCGAACCAACTGTAAAAAATGTGATTACCAATTGTGTAACTATTAGCACCATAGCCACTATATAGTGCTGTAGTGGTTATGGTGCTAAGACTATCCCTTTTTACATATGTCGATAGTATCTCTAATGTATTTTAAGTAACAAAGCATCATTTTCATTTAAGGCTATTTTGTAACCACTGCTGTAAACCAGAAGACATTAGCCAGAGACAAGCATGTTACTAAATTAACTAATCTCACCCCAATGGGCCAAAAATCCATCTTTGATAATAATTAATTTTTGCAAATCTGTTTGAAATTTTATTTTTTTTCATCTGTAGGATTAAACCCTCTGCAGCACTGAAAATTGTCCTCTACGTTAACTGTGACTTAACTATTTGTGCTCCTAAAGGTATTACAGGGTTAATGGAACAAAAATGGTTATTATTTACACTCCTCTATATATCACCCAAAAGACCAAATTTGTAATATTGTGCGCTTGGGTTGTGGCCGTTGGGATAAATGACCGAGATATAAGTTTGTCTATGTTTTGCAGAATTTTAGGAAAATCTTAAAATTTGGAGTAAATTTGCGGTTTGAAAACCATATTTCAAAAATCAGGTTAAAATGGCCAATTTGCTATCTGGTTTTCAATCCAATCCAATTCGCTGTTTAGTGAATAAACCATATTGTTTGTACTTCGTATCTTTGTTAGAAGATTCTGGAAGACAGATATGTGTTAATGTAATAGGGGCCTGGTGACATTTTATTTTTAGTACAATATTAAAGCTGGGCGGGCGGTAATCACCCCCTGAGGAGGAGTAAACTAGTGATTCTGGCTACGGATTTTATTTCCTGCTGGTAATTAGAGAATAAGTGCAGAAATATCACATATTTACCATCGAGAACAATAGCTGGGAATCGAGAGCAGGGAATCCACGGGCCGAATACCTGGTAACAGACAATTCTACGGGCATTATTGCAGGAGTGACAGTGACGGTGGGTTTAAATGGACTAAATAAAAGCTGGAATACGGGAGAAACAGGCCCCCGAGGTTTATTCACTAAGCTCCGAATTGTAGTAAATTAAAATCTGAATGGCAAAATTAAGATTAAAATGTGATCTAGAATTTTTTTTTTTCAAAATCAACAAAATGTACAGTTTTGCCACTTTGTTTATTTGTATTCAGTAGTAGGTTCGGATTTCAATTCACTACAATTTGGAGCTTAGCGAATAAACCTTCCATTATTGTTTTAGGTTGCACCCCTGGGGTGACCACTGGCAGATACTATGATGTCTGAGGGCAAATGCAATATGGGTAATGATACTACAATATAAATCTAATGTTATAGCCACGACAACCCAGCATAAATATATAATGGATTGACTAAAATTTAGATTGCAATTATTATTTTAACACTTTCTCCTCCTTTTTAAAGATACCACTGTTTCATTTTATATCCTGGCTCCTTCCTTCGCCCCTGCTGTCAATCACCATGAAGCGGCCTGGGTGACATGTGCCCCCTCTCTTAACCCTACAGCTGAAAACATTGCCATTGAACAGGAAAGGCAAAGTTATCTTTACAGTGTTAAAGCAGCACGCCAAATGGCCGAATCACGTGTTTTTTTTTAACCCACCTTCCGACTCCACTACATCTAATTGTTCCCCTAGTCACCATAAATGCCCCTAAGCCCCCCACATTACCTATTTTTTAATCTTCATTTTCTGCCCCGATCTAGGTCCTGGGCACTGCTATCTTTTTGTGGGTAGATGAAGTCCTTGCGGGACACGTCATCTGCCCACACTAGATAGCGCTGTGATAACACTTGGACATTCGCTACGGGAATTTTGTCGATTCATTCATTTCACTAATAGAACTTTCAGACGAACAAACAAACACCGGATATCGGTGTTCGTTTGTTCGGTTTATTACAAGGAGGGAGCTACCAGCGCACAGCTCCCTCCTTGTAATATGTAAAAATAGAAGCGGCAGGGAGCAGTGCTCCCCGCCACTTCCTAAGCAACCCCCCATGTCTTCCCTCACTCTATGGGGGTCAAAATCCCAAATGCCCCTACTCGCTATGTCACAAGTAGGGGCATGTCTACTAAACCGTGAGCAGCTCAACCCCCCTTTCAACAAGTAGCCCCATGGTGGGGAATCTATTAACAAGCAGGGGGAACATAGTGTGTCCCCCAGACCCCACCCATGACCTGTGAGTGGGGGATATGAAAATAAACAGGTCCCCCTTATCTCCACCCATGAGCGGCAAGTGGGGTCCATAATTGAAAATGGGGGGGACCTATTGTCCTCCCCCCCGGCCCCCACCCATGAGCGGCGGATGGGGGCCCTAATTGAAAATGGGTAGGGTGGGACCTATGGTCCTCCCCCCTGACCCCCACCCATGGGCAACTGGTGGGGACCCTAAATGAAAATGAGGGGGAACGACACACACCTCTTTTACCCCCGCTCCCCACCCATGGGTGACTGGTGAGGACTAAATGTCAACCCCCCCAGGTGACTAGAAAAACCCCAAATCAGCCGGAAAAAAAAAGTCCTGATGCTAAAAGAATATTCCTTCTTCACCCAGCGATGGCACGGCGCATACTAAGCTCTGCAGGGCAGGGAAAGACTTAGAAAGCCTTTCCACGCCCTGCAATTTGGCTCAGAGCTTCCCCAAACTCCGGCCCTTCAGATGTTGCTTAACTACAACTCCCATGATTCTCAGCCTATCTATTTCATTCATAGAATAATGGGAGTTGTAGTTAAGCAACATCTGGACGGCAGGAGTTTGGGGAAGCCTGGTTTAAACCAACCAATGAGAGGGCTCTGACAGGTAAATGAAGAGACTGACAGGTAAGTCTCTACCTTTACCTGTCACATCACTCTGATTGGTGGGCTTGGAATCCAACCAATCAGAGTGCTCTGAGTAATTCTACACAGCGTGGGAAAATTCTAAAGAACACTCCCGGGTGGGGATGACAATAGGTCCCCCCCCCATTTTCATTTAGGGTCCCCACCTGCCACTCATGGTCTCAAGATCTCAGCTAAAGGGGCGGAGCGACACGGATGACTAGAGCGCTATAGCATTAGGAATACACGTTTTATACGTGGTTTGGCTCAGGAGAATTTCAGAACCGAGATTTCAATTCGGAAACCGAAAAAGGTGTAAAAATGGGGCAATCATTTCACTGCACAATATAATATTATGTATGTACTCTGCAGTACACTAGTAGCTGCGTTTTCTCACCGTTTTGGTTCACAGATCAAGAGAGAAAAAGTAACAAATAGAGGGGAAACCAAGGGGAAGCAGTAAAACAAATCAGTATTTATAAATTATATATTTATTAGAGCTATAATATTGTATATAAATATATATTTTTATACTGTTCTTTTTTACTTCCTCTATTGCTCACTTCTTTTTTGATCTGTGAATAAAATCAACATTTAGTGACTGTCCCTCTAGTCATCAATCATCTCTTTTTTGGGAGGACCACGAAGAATCACGAGCCAGCCCAGAAATGTTCGTGTTCCAGATGGTCCATAATTCGTATACGTTTAGACTTGGAGATTAGAAATCGTCAAGTCTAGAATACTATTAGATAATGGATAGATCAATCATTTCATATTTGATATTTGTTTGTAAGTAAGTGGTTAGGTTTTGTAGCGAAGTAGTTTGTATGGTTTTCGAGCATTTTCAAGATTTTGTTGTGGACAAGGGTTGAATTCAAAGTGAAAAATATAAAATCGTCAAAAATAAAGTGAATACCTCGATGGTGCTTAACCCGATCCTTGTTGTTGGACCTTCTGTGTTCTCGGTTATGTTTCTTCCCCTTTGAATGGACTCCTGGTGACTGGTTGTCCCTTTGATTATAGGGAAAATCGAAAGCCTGAAATTGTTCCCTGTCCTGTTTCAGTGCGCTTGGCTGTATTACATCTGCTACTTCGCTCTGGGGTGGTAGCCCAATAACACCATCCACTGGTACGAAGGCTGTGGGTGGCATTCCACCTCGAGTTCGATCTCTCTTAGACATTCCTGACCTCCTGTTTGTCCTCTCTTGAGGCTGGTGACCCCACATGTCCTGCTCATACCTGCTGGTCTCTGACATCCTTTTAGGTTTGACTTTTGGCTCCAGCGAGCTCGGGCAGATCAGATGATTAGTAATAATCACAAATACCAGGCAGACAGATGGAAGGCAATCAAATAGGGCAGTCATTCTCCTAATTATTTCATCTGAAAAAAAGAGACAAAAATACCCCAAATTAGCAACACTTATAAACGTACCAATGTATATGTTTTAGCCATATATGGGATATGGTAGTAATGCAATAATTACATGGCCACTACAACAATCCTTAGTGTTGATGGAGCTTACAGTGCCCAGAGTAGGAACTAAATGGCTACAAGCAGCCATATATATTAATAAAAAGGTTAACAGTTTGGTATTTAAACAGATGGTTTTATGGAAATACTCGCAGAGAGCATTCTGCATTGTACAAGGTTATCATGGCGTTACTGAGGTATCTCAAACAACATGACCTTTTGGGTGGGATTAAAGAAATTAAATGTTAACGTTTCTGTGCAATCTGAAAATGATTTCTATTGACAGCAGATGAACACATTTAAGATGTGCTCTATGGGAAAAACCAACTACTATTTGCACAACCCAGAAATGTCCAGTTTTATGTATCTATGGGATTAAACGGGGTGTCGTCTGCAACTGAAATTTGTTGGGGTGACAAGGCTTCAAAGAGAATTTACCCAAAATTCTGCTCCATTTAAAAAAAATTAAAAAATAAACCTATGCTTAGTTCACAGTGCTCAAAAATACCACCAAGAATGGCTAAAGCTTTATGTTTAATTAATTAATTGTTCCCAAGCACACTCTAATGTAGGGGCAATTTTCACCATTTATTCATATAGTATAGATTCTAATCAGCACTTTTTAATCACTTTCATTTGCTTATTATCTGGTGGGTGTCCACTTGATAAAGCCTTGTTGGTGAAACGCGTTGTGGATATTTTAAAGATTGTTTATTAATAAAGGTACTTTTGCCACTTTCAATTGTGAGTTTGCCATTTTCATTTTTTATCTTGCTACCATTTTGTTTAATTTTTTTAACCACTTTTACTGCCTGACATCTGATTTTTACTGTTCCGGTGAGGACTACTCCAAAGTATCCTAGGTGGGATTACATCATTTACGCCTTATTCATTGAGCAGTCCGCCTTCTCAATTAAATGTGAGTAACCAATTGTTATGTTATTTCATGCTCCTGGTATTTGTATATAGAGAGCACTATTGTTTCTTTTTAATTACATATGGTCTTCATATTAATGTGGCATCTGCCTAGCAACGTTTCTTCACGTGACGTATCCTATAAGTGGAGATTATACCACTGTATGCTATTCATACGAGAGCTGGTTTAATGCTCTAAAAAACGTGAGTAGGACCAAAATAGACCTTATATTGACTGTTATTACCTTTTCTGGGACATATTGCACTATTATCTCTCCTCTGTCTTTTCTTACGGATTCCATAAATACTCTAATCTGATGCCATCGTAGTAGATATTCCTCTGACAGGATTGTGGTTGTTTCTTCAGACAAGGTTTTATTGGACTCTATACTAGACATTTTTATTATTGTATATTTTTTGCTACACTACACCTTTTTCCAACCATTGGTTTTTATTCTCTTGTGTTAAGTTTACTTATTTATTGTTCATACTCTTCTGGACCAATCTCTCCCCCCCCACCCCCCATTTCTATTGTCGGATGAGTACTATCGTATATACCAGGTTACCGTCGAGCAAACAGAATTATATTAAATACCTCTTTTTTTAAGACTGTATTTATGTCATAATTAGTTGTTAATTATAAAAAATATTTTATTGTATTTCATGGATAAAATAATATTGAAATCAATATATGCAATGTGTATATATATACACACACAAAAACACTAATAAAACGTCCAGTATGAGTGTACGCCATCGCTAAACCCATAATAAACCAGATGGAATTTTCGCAGGAATCAGAAGAGTTTTCTATTTATGGATACACATTGTATAGCACTATGGAATTTGCTGGCGCTATATAAATAATAAATAATGGAATGTTTCTTAATAACATACATTTGTGGTTTTACCCAAAATACAGGTAAGTGGAACTTGGAAGACCAAAGATTCTGTAAATCTGGGTAAGATCAGGGTTGGTATAGAACCAGTTAATATTTGGATTATTCTTTTAACGTTGAACCTTTCGTACTGCGTATCACACAAAAGGCCAGATTGCTTGTACAGAACACGGCAGCTGAAACTGAATAGGGAAAGATTTAGCATTTTGTGCAATGGAATATTTCAGACACTGGATTTACATATCCAACAATTAAACTAATATATCCGTCCACCTGGCGCTATTACATTAAAAACGATAACCGCCGCTTACATGCAGTTATTTTCTCAGAATGGCTGGGAATACAGAAAAACTCTCCTCCGGATATAATGTGAAAAATTATCATATCTTTTATCACCATTTCAAAATCATGCTTTAGCAATATATAGTGGTATATTACGTGATACATTTTTACCATGACTTATTAACTCTGCGTGAGCCAAAATGGTTACCGATAGTTTGGTTACGCCAAAACTGATAGCAGTGATCCAGATTGGCCTGATCCTGAAGCACACACAGAGTCATCACACCGTACAGATGTTTGGACACATAATATGGAATGACGTCTCTGGTAAGAGGTAGACGTAAGGTGCTGGGTATCTTATATAAAACACAACACCAGATCTCTCACTTGGGAAATGAACACCAATCGGACTTTTGATATTGCTAAAAATATATTTTTTTCTATAATAGTCATAGCGATCGGGTATAAGGGGGGCACACAAAAAAGGCACCTAAATAATTTCATGCCTTGTGGCACTTCTAAGAGAAGAACTAATAGTGAAAATGAAACTCTAATGAGCTGTAATAATACAATGAGTAATAATAGTTCCGATGCTCAGAGTGTCTCTTTGAATTGGACATGTCACTATATCAGTTCTATAACCTCATGTCACCATGAACATATTGTAAGTGGATTTTGTTACGTTTACTGTGTATCTTGTGCTTCTGTAAGAGTATTATGGGTGAATGTTAAAAGGGACACTATAGTCACCAGAACAACTACAGCTTATTGAATTTGTTCTGGTGAGTAGAATCATTCCCTTCAGGCTTTTTGCTGTAAACACTGTCTTTTCAGAGAAAATGCAGTGTTTACATTACAGCCTAGTGATAATTTCACTGGCCACTCCTCAGATAGCTGTTAGAGATCCTTCGTGGGTGATGGCTGCCTAAAATGCATCCAAACATTCAGTATCTCCTCCCTCTGCATGCAGACACTGAACTTTCCTCATAGAGATTCATTGATTCAATGTATCTCTATGAGGAGATGCTGATTGGCCAGGGCTGTGTTTGAATCGTGCTGGCTCTGCCCCTGATCTGCCTCCTTGTCAGCCTCAGCCAGTCCTATGGGGAAGCACTGTGATTGGATCATGCTACCACTTCTGCTGATGTCAGCAGGCAGTGAGCAGGTCTAAAGGCAATAGTGACAATGCAAGCAGCTCCAGACTTGAAAACAAGTAAGATTTACTATATTTATGGTGGCATGAGGGGACCAGAGTGGCTATATGGTGGTTTTAACACTATAGGGTCAGAAATATATGTTTGTTTGTGTTCCAGGCCCCAGGGAGAGTGCGCAGCTTAGCGGACAGGGGCACATGTATGAGTGTTGGATGGATGATGCATGATTGGCTATATGCTACATGTGGGAGTGTGAGATGTGAGGAAGTGGGTGGTGACAGATCAGACTGACCTCAGTGCCACTTAGGAGCCGGGCCAGCAACAAGTTTCCCACCCACCCTCCCTTTGCTGCTTTGGGCCCGGGGGGTTGTCACAGCGAGGTGGGGGTGTGTCCTTGCCAAATAAGGGATGGTTTGGTTGATTTGATGAAAAAGGGGGATAATGGCCGGGTCTCATCCTCCCCCTGTCTCTTATGGTGAACCTGAAGGAGGTACCAGGTTGGACGTGTCCCCACTGGGTTGTAAGTCGACCAGTGGGGAGCATTATGGTTGGGCCCCACCGAGTTGGTGGGGAGCCCTGAAAAGGAAGATGTTTTTATTATGCCGAGGGTGGGAGGTGAGAGCCTTGGGGAAGTTAGATTGGCAAGGACGGTTTATTTGGTTACTGTATGACTATATGCAAATTGTTTATGTTAATTTATGATATTTATTATTTCGTTATATGTTAAAGGAGTCATACAGTATTTGGTTGTGTTAATAAATGCTGTGGCCTGTTTTCTCCAAGAAGTTGTCTGTCGTTATTTGAAGGGGTAAGTTATGGTTTTATGGGGGATGAAGGGAATGCTATCCAATGCCCACTACGTACATACAAGGCCCTACAGCATTCCTTTAAGGAATTGGGGGAAAGGAATGGTTGCAAATACAGACATGTGAAAACGCAATGTTGGAGAGTTTGTTGACAGAGACTGAGGAGGGAAAACACAGAGAAATAAAAGACTGGAGACTACAGAGGGGAGAAGGATTAAAGAGAGAGGGGAGAACAATGTATTTTACTTCCACAGACTGATTTCTAAACACATTTATTGTAGTTTAAATACATATTACTGGGAGTATTATTGCTGTGGAGCTCTGTTATACACTCAGACACATTACTGGGAGTATTATTGCTACGGGGCTCTGTTATACACTCAGACACATTACTGGGAGTGTTATTGCTGTGGAGCTCTGTTATACACTCAGACACATTACTGGGAGTATTATTGCTGTGGAGCTCTGTTATACACTCAGACACATTACTGGGAGTATTATTGCTGTGGGGTTCTGTTATACACTCAGACACATTACTGGGAGTATTATTGCTGTGGAGCTCTGTTATACAGTCAGACACATTACTGGGAGTATTATTGCTGTGGAGCTCTGTTATACACTCAGACACATTACTGGGAGTATTATTGCTGTGGAGCTCTGTTATACACTCAGACACATTATTGGGAGTATTATTGCTGTGGAGCTCTGTTATACACTCAGACACATTACTGGGAGTATTATTGCTGTGGAGCTCTGTTATACACTCAGACACATTACTGGGAGTATTATTGCTGTGGAGCTCTGTTATACAGTCAGACACATTACTGGGGTATTATTGCTGTGGAGCTCTGTTATACACTCAGACACATTACTGGGAGTATATTTCTGTTGAGCTCTGTTATACACTCAGACACATTACTGGGAGTATTATTGCTGTGGAGCTCTGTTATACACTCAGACACATTACTGGGAGTATTATTGCTGTGGAGCTCTGTTATACACTCAGACACATTACTGGGAGTATTATTGCTGTGGAGCTCTGTTATACACTCAGACACATTACTGGGAGTATTATTGCTGTGGAGCTCTGTTATACACTCAGACACATTACTGGGAGTATTATTGCTGTGGAGCTCTGTTATACACTCAGACACATTACTGGGAGTATTATTGCTGTGGAGCTCTGTTATACACTCAGACACATTACTGGGAGTATTATTGCTGTGGAGCTCTGTTATACACTCAGACACATTACTGGGAGTATTATTGCTGTGGAGCTCTGTTATACACTCAGACACATTACTGGGAGTATTATTGCTGTGGAGCTCTGTTATACACTCAGACACATTACTGGGAGTATTATTGCTGTGGAGCTCTGTTATACACTCAGACACATTACTGGGAGTATTATTGCTGTGGAGCTCTGTTATACACTCAGTCACATTACTGGGAGTATTATTACTGTGATACACACCAACAATATGGAGCTCCTAGAAAAGAGGGACTGATGGGGTTGAGTCCAAAATATGGACTGTCCCTCCTAAATAGGGACAATTGAGAGTTCTGAAAAAGGCTGTTTTAGTGAATGAGCAGGTGTAAAAATTAGAGCAAAAAATAGATTGGAAATTGTATCTTTTTTTTCTACAATACGTCCTGTGTGTATGTTTGAGTGTGAGTCGGAATGTGTATATTTCTCCCTGGCACTTGCTGGGTTAATACTTCTCTAATTGCAAATAGAAACATTACACCAGACCTGTGCCCTCCTTGCTGGTGACATGGTCCTGTCATTTAGTTTTGTAATGGGAGCTGGGTAGGTTCCCTGTCTCTTCTCATTACAGATTTGCATCTTTCTGGTTATGTCCCCAGGGCAAATCTCAAGTGTAGTATTTATGTCACACTGTCAGCTATCTGAACTCTTGGATTAATTTTTAATTAGGAATACCGTGCTGCCCTGCAGTACTTAAACCGACGGAATCCAAGCAGACAAAGTAACCTCACATATTGATCACACAGAGCAGAATATAACTAAACACACTGTAATCAATATGAAATAAACATTAAGGATTGTGTGATAAGAGAAAATATTACACTTCCATGATTTCTTACCCAATAATAAATAAAAATAAGACGCCTGAGAAGTGCAGCAAAAGTGAGTTTTGTTATGTAGATGAACTGCTTACGTGACAGAAATGGATTTTATCCATTGAGGGTTCTCTGGAGTCCACCTGATGTCAGATGATGTCTGCACTTTATCTTTGTGTTTTGTGTAACCCTTTGTACAGCGCTGCACAATATGTTGGTGCGTTATACCCAATAATAATTCCCTCTAAATAACCAAAATAAATGGTTTCTATATTGGTTATGTTGATGTCATGGCGCCCACCGAGGGCACTCTGGTGCGGCTCATTCCGGCGTGGCTCGTACATATGCCAGAGGTGCCGCATTTACTCCCATTCCCTCTGGCCGTACTGTCCTCCAGTGTACGGACAGAGCCCAGCTGCTGCCAAACGGAACCCTCCTATGGCTCCAAAGTCTCTGCCCCGATTATTGACGCTAATGCCCATCATCACGCAGATGTTGCACAAACACGTTCCGACGTCACATGATAGCCAATAACCTGTCCCTGCCCTCTTATGGTTATTTAAGCTCATTCGGTACTTTTCTCAGTGCCCTGTCGTGTTTCCGCATGCAGGTATCCAAGAGCACGTTATCTCTATTGATTCTGTATTATTTTGACTCCGGCTTGTACCTTGACTATTCCTCCTTCTTAATATTTGGTTTCTCTTACCGTTTATGTACTCTCTCTCCCTGTTCTGACCTGTTCCGTACTATTCTATATTATTAGCATTAAATCCAGCCATTCTACGGTCCGGTAATACGCTTTAGTATTCAGGTTATATTTAATTTGTTAACTGGCTCCTAGTTAAATCCTGACAGTCAATTCTGGAGATTTCGATCACATCGTTACTAGCGTAACAGCGCTGATGTCATATGATGTCATAATGTAGGTGGTACCAAGACACTTTTTCGCTGTGGCAGTCAGTGGCTTAGTACCCCTTCCTTGATCCTGATCACTCTATGGATCATTTGAAAAATCTGCCTCTGAGTCCTAGCGATCCATTTTCTAATAATGTTATATGGAACTCAGGGGAAAAAAAATGCTACTAATGAAAACAATAAGGAATATTTTGAATCTTGGAAATAAAACCGCATTAAATCTTCGCTGGCTGGTAGCGGAAGCGCACAGGGACCCGTCAGTAAATTAAAAGAGATGGCTTTCTATGAAGTGTTATGCTTTCTGGCAGAAGCATATATGGCCACAATCTGCTGAGATACAATGTGCTCCAGATTCACATGCAAATTAGAGTAATTAATCATTTTGAAGTTTCCTTTTCATTTACTTTGCTCCAATTTATTCCTTCCCTGCTGGTAGGAAATTTTGGAGATGGCCCTTCCCCCCTCCCCCCCCCCTCCCGGTGCTCCCCAACACAACGTGAGCTATGCCAGGTCGGCACAGATGTTAGGGTCAGCACCGGCTCTGTGCCCAGCTGGTTTCAACATGGAATCTTGGTGCCCAACCCCCCCCCACACGCAGATTCATTTCACTAGGACGCCCGTCTGGGCGCACAACATGTTACCTACTGCAAGAAAGCCCAGCCAATTACTTATCCTGAATCTGGACGCAGAATCGCTGATTGTCAGCCTTTAATCATATTATAACTGAACATGGGATTAACGACATCAAGCTAATATTACTGCTGCTGCTTTTAATTATATCTATTAATAAAACGCGTACTACGCATCAAGCATATAATGTAAACATAAAACTTCTGCTGTTGTTACTCTCTTAACACTTTCAATTAAACAGCACAAGTGGCTCAGCACTTGGCACAATGATAGAACTATGGGGTTTGCTTTGCCATGTCCCCTTCTATTATCAATATATACGCTCTAGGACATCTTCCTAATCACTAAAAATTCTACAAAATGCTCCATTACAAGCTCCAGTACAGAGCTCTGATATTTTAAACCCCTTAGTTACATATGATTATTTGTCTTTGTACAAAAAAATATTACTATATAAACCTCTCACCCAGCCTTACATATACATTCTATATCCCAGCCTTACACATACATTCTATATCCCAGCCTTACATATACATTCTATATCCCAGCCTTACACATACATTCTATATCCCAGCCTTACATATACATTCTATATCCCAGCCTTACACATACATTCTATATCCTATATCCCAGCCTTACACATACATTCTATATCCCAGCCTTACACATACATTCTATATCCCAGCCTTACACATACATTCTATATCCCAGCCTTACACATACATTCTATATCCCAGCCTTACATATACATTCTATATCCCAATCTTACACATACATTCTATATCCCAGTCTTACACATACATTCTATATCCCAGCCTTACATATACATTCTATATCCCTATAATCTTACACATACATTCTTCTATATCCCAGCCTTACACATACATTCTATATCCCAGCCTTACATATACATTCTATATCCCAGTCTTACACATACATTCTATATCCCAGCCTTACATATACATTCTATATCGCAGTCTTACACATACATTCTATATCCCAGTCTTACACATACATTCTAAATCCCAGCCTTACATGTACATTCTATATCCTAGCCTTACACATACATTCTATATTCCAGGCTTACATATACTTTCTATATCCCAGCCTTACATATACATTCTATATCCCAGCCTTACACATACATTCTATATCCCAGCCTTACATATACATTCTACATCCCAGCCTTACACATACATTCTATATCCCAGCCTTACATATACATTCTACATCCCAGCCTTACACATACATTCTATATCCCAGCCTTACATATACATTATATACCGGCCTTACATATACATTCTATATCCCAGCCTTACACATACATTCTATATCCCAGTCTTACACATACATTCTATATCCCAGCCTTACATTTACATTCTATATCCCAGCCTTACACATACATTCTATATTCCAGGCTTACATATACTTTCTATATCCCAGCCTTACATATACATTCTATATCCCAGCCTTACACATACATTCTATATCCCAGCCTTACATATACATTCTATATCCCAATCTTACACATACATTCTATATCCCAGTCTTACACATACATTCTATATCCCAGCCTTACATATACATTCTATATCCCAGCCTTACACATACATTCTATATCCCAGCCTTACATATACATTCTATATCCCAGCCTTACATATACATTCTATATCCCAGTCTTACACATACATTCTATATTCCAGCCTTACATATACATTCTATATCCCAGCCTTACACATACATTCTATATCCCAGCCTTACATATACATTCTACATCCCAGCCTTACACATACATTCTATATCCCAGCCTTACATATACATTCTACATCCCAGCCTTACACATACATTCTATATCCCAGCCTTACATATACATTATATACCGGCCTTACATATACATTCTATATCCCAGTCTTACATATACATTCTATATCCCAGCCTTACATATACTTTCTATATCCCAGTCTTACACATACATTCTATATCCCATCCTTACATATACATTCTATATCCCAGCCTTACACATACATTCTATATCCCAGCCTTACATATACTTAAAATGCTGAGCATACAACATATTACCCAATTCACTTTAGGGGTTTCACATGTCAGAAAAATCATGATATAATGGGATATGTCCAGCTTGTAGTCATTAAAGGGACACTATGGCACCAGAACAACTTTATCGTAAGCAGTTTTGGTGTATATCTCAGGCCTCTGCAGTCTGACTGCTTAATTATCTGACATTTAGGAGTTAAATCACTTTGTTTATACAGCCTTAGTCACATCTTACACAGCCTTCCTAAACATTTCCTGTAAAGCGAGATCTCATTTTTAAACTTCCTTTATTGCACAGTCTGTTTAATTTAGAATTTCTTATTTCCTGCTTTGTTATTTGCCCTCTAGACCCTGTATGTGTGTGAATAAAGTTCAATTTACAGAGCAAGAGATAAAAACTCTGTAGCATCTGATTAAAAATATAAACTTTTTTTCATGCAGGCTGTGTGAGTCACAGCCAGAAGGGATTGGGTGGGGCTGCATAAACAAAGTGATTTACTCCTAAATGGTAGATAATTGAGCAGGGAGACGACAGGGTCATGGTCTATAAACCAAAACTGCTTCAATAAGCTAAAGTTGTTTTGGTGCCTATAGTATGCCTTTAAGTCATTAATTAATAAGGGACTGGACTCACACTGTATAAGGTGTATAAACTCTTGACGTTATTCAATGAAAAAGGTTTTACCACCAAAACGGGCATAGGAAATATTTTGACATATTTTAGCTTATCATTTGCAATCCCCTGACAATTCTCAATGTTTACCAGTACAGAAAACAAATGGTTCACATTAACCCTTTCCATGAATGGTTCACATTAACCCTTTCAGTGCACTGCTTGCATTAACCCTTTCAGTGCACTGCTTGCATTAACCCTTTCAATGCATGGTTCCTATTTTAGTGTTTGTCACCTATGCAGGTATGCATTTTAAGAGTTTTCATTCTGCACACTCTCTCATATACCCCATTTCTGAGCGATTAGCAACTAGTTTCTCCTTCCAAAATATTTAAAATCCAACTTAAATATTGTTTACCCCCTGTCCCCGGCTCCAAATCAACTCATCATCCCCAATTTACCAGATTTTCCCAATCTTTCCTCATGAGCCCCTTTCACTGCCCACACCCCTCCCTAATTACTACGTGTCTATACTGTTTCATTCATCTAATTAATTCTCTCTCATTCATCACCCAGCACGCCATCTCTTAGTCTAATTAAACAATGCATGCATACATTGGGCGGACTACAACTACTGCATTAGAATACCATTCAATGAAATGCTAAATATATATTAAAACAGTAATCAGGGATAAATCATGATGTATGATTCAAGTTAACTAGAAATTGATACAAACGCTTCAACAAAGAATGTCTTTCTTTATCCTATATTATTATTATTATTAATATTATTGGTATTCATAGTATTCCGTAGCGCTTTACAATATTATGAAAGGGGTAAAATGAACAACTAATGAGACATTGATGATGATAATGATATAGAAACAATAGGTAGCTGCCCAAACGAGCTTACAGTCTAGAGATACGATTATTCTTTGTAAATGTAACAAGACTAACGGTAAGCCCAGGTAATGGTAACTTTAGAAGGAAATATTCAAGCACCATAACCACTACCCTCCCAAGGTAAGTAGTCTAACTTGTTGTGGTGGTTTGATAATTTGCCTTGGGTCCGCTGAGTGCTGGTCACAGCCTCCAGGAGAGCTAAAGACTCCTGCATGAAGCTTGCGTTCGCTCCCCTGAGCTAAGCCCTCCAGGGCATCGCCGTCCTTTGCTTCTAGCTCTCCAGGAGGAGGTGACCCCGTGGAAGCTGTAAATCCAATTACATTTTACTTTTTACCCTGCGAGGGTAAAAAGTCTCAATACGTAAAGTGCTATTTGATAATGCTACTTTTTATCAATACATTGGGACAGACAAATGACTAACAGAGGTACAATTGCTACATGTATCCAAATAAGGCAGGCGTAGCCAACCTTCGGCACTCCAGATGTTGTGGACTACATCTCCCACAATGCTCTAACATTCATCAAGTGAGATATGGTCATCATCTGGAGTGCCGAAGGTTGCCTACCCCCAAAACAGAGGTTTGTAAAACGGTTCCTTTACTAATTGGACAATGGTATTGCATGTTTGAGAACAAAATGTTAAATTAAAGAATGCTAAAGAATGTTTCCAATTGGTCTCTTTTGTAGCACAAATTGCAATGCCCTTTACAATTCCCCACAATTGTGGGTTTGGTAGATAAAACCCCAAACCGTTGCTAGCGATTTGGGACAATGCATAGATTACACTGGCATCAGACAGGACTTGCTAAGTATTTATTTACAGAAATGTTACAGCACAGGTTTCATTATATGATTTTCGGAATCCTTGGTGATTTTGCAGAGATGGCAGGGACAACACGTTTAAAGAAACCCCCCCCCCCTCGAGCCATACATTTCCTTCAGCCACCTGAATGCATAGTTTGCTGAGGTAGAAATATATTTGTAATTCAAACATATGTTTGTTTGACTTGGACTTTACAGCTCAAGTGATCACAAAAAACCAAATGATCGGTGTATCGGAAAAGCTGCATTTATTCTTTCGCGCCTTCCATAAATTGGATTGTGCATTTTTCCTGCTCAGTCATTCTCAGTGCGTTATACGTTCCAAGCTCGCGGTGTTCTGCGTAAATCAGACCTTAGGGGCACTGAATGTTTATCGTGTTATTATCCTGAAAACACTTTGCTCTCCATAAATTGTGAGGCTGGAGATTTGGCAGGCCCAAGGACTTCATAGCGAGCGTGAATTAAAGTCTCATTAAACTTCAAAGATCTATTCCCTCGATTCCTCCACATGCTGGTTTCACTGGGTGGTGGTTTCATTGTCACTTTTTGGACTTGATATTAAAGGTTTTTTTTAGGGCCGTGAATAGCAGAATAAAGCCATGGCAATGATGACAGCTGGGGTGACCAAAAAGAAGCTTTTTATCAGACGTTTTCTTTATTCTCGTGCTCCTGCTGTACACGGAGGATTAAATCCCAGGGATCAGACATACGTGGGAAGGGGACTCACCGAAAGGACAACAGAACGTAGACATATATTTTCTTTGCACAAAATTACAAAGAGGACTTTACAGCACTCTGCGGGCCACAGAACAGAATACACACCAACACAAACATCCAGGGACCGCCGTTATATCTTGCTCTAAATCACGTTTGTGGACATAATGTTGGCCAGGCCAGGCATATTTAGTTAAATGCTTTTCATTATTTAACCTATAAAGCTTTGTATCAGAAGAGTATATTGTAGAATTGTCTTTTCTATACACAAATGTTTTAATCTATTACATTGTGTAAATATAATACTTAAACATTTTTAAAAAGCTAAAATCTATAACACCTTAAAGGGATACTATAGGCACGAAACAAGCAGCAAAATAAATAGATCATGCCTCTGCTCAATTATCTGCCATTTAGGAGGTCACTAAATCACTTTGTTTATGCAGCCCCAGCCACAACTCCCTGCATGTGACTTACACAGCCTTCTTAAACACTTACTGTAAAGAAAGAGATCTAATGTTTAAACATCCTTTATGGCACATTCTGTTTAATTTAGAATTTCTTATCTCCTGCTCTGTTAATGCCCTGCTTGAGCCTGTAGCAGCCTCCTGTGTGTGATTAAAGTTTAATTTACAGAATAAAGTAAAGATGTGATTGAAAATGTAACCTTTTTTTTCCATGCAGGCTGTATCAGTCACAGCCAGGGGAGGTGTGGCTAGGGCTGCATAAACAGAAATAAAAGTGATTTAACTCCTAAATGGCAGCGAATTGAGCAGTGAGATGGTAGGGGCATGATATATACACAAAAACAGCTTCACTGAGCTAAATTTGCTTTGATGCGTAGAATGTCCCTTTAAGGACCAATTATATTTTAAGTCATCATGATCTGGTCCCTAAATACCCAGCGCCAGTATGGAATGTCAAGCTAATTTAGAATTTGCAACGCAATCATGTGAGTGACACATTCCAATATAATATGTGATCTTTAAAAGCTAGGTTGTTATTAAGGAATTTATTGGTTAAAATCAAGTGAAATTGAAACTGAACCAATAATTGGTATTTACACATAGCCCAACAATTCACAGTTTAGCAGATAACCCTGCCTTTGTCTTTCACTTGTATACATATTGTATTGGCTTGTAAAATATTCCCTGAACTGAAAATTGTCTGGCATTGACAAGGCATCTGCAAGTTTTATAAATAAAATTTTAAAAAGTTAGCAGAATTGTAAGAATCATCTCATCTCTTAGTTTAGCTGGGTTATATGGTCCTGGCAGTGACCTCTGCTATCACACCGAGTCTGTAAAAAAAGTTTTAAAATTGCTAAGAGAGACAATTATTACACAAGGGGACCCAGAACTTGGGGTGCTCAACATTAAAGAGGTTGCTGGGAAATTGGTGGCTTAAAGAGTGGTGGGAGAGGTGAGATTAGAAACTGAGGCACGAAGGCAGAGGTCGTAAAGGGTAAGAAGAAGAAGCGGGTGGTCCCATGTGTCAAACACAGCTGAAAGGTCAAGAAGAATAGGTGACAGGGCAGTGACCCTTGGATTGAACTGTGATTAAATCATTGGCCTCATTGATTCGAGTTCAGAAAGTGGGAACCAGATTGCAGAAGATCAAGTAGACAGAATCAAGAACATCAGTTGAGTGTTACAAACCATTTAAGAAACTAGAAAAGACATAATGGTAGCTAGACAGAGAGAATGGACTGAGAAGAATGAAGATTATAGTTTTAAAGGACACTCCAAGCCGCTAAACAATCTATTCTCTAGGTGTCAATACTGAACTGGTAGAAGCATGCATGTCTGCTCACATTCATTTAGAGCAGACAACTAGGAGGGATGTAGACGTGATATATTGATATTTTTTAATTTCTGCCTTAGCGAATGCTGAACTTGTCATATGCAAGTTTTTGGCATTTGATTGGCCCTTTAACTCACAGCACAGCTTTCTAGACATGCATGACACCCAGTTAATGTGTAATGAGGAGCATGCGTTAGGAACAATTCTAGGGATAATGATTTATATATTATTATTATTATTAATATAGGGCCAACAAACTCGGCAGTGTTGTACAATGGGTGGACTAACAGACATGTATTTATAACCAGACTGGTTGGACACACAGGAGGGGTTGAGGGCTCTGCTCAAGAGGTAAGGGAAAGGTGGCAAAGTAGGTTACTAGAAAGCTGTTAACAGTTTAATGTATAAACTCATAAGGAATATTCCATTGCTTCCACGGTGACGGCTTTACGTTTAGAATTGTTCTCTGGATTATCCTGTGTTCTATGTTCCTGGCTTATTATGTTACCAGTCTGTCTGCTGCCTGCCCTGACCTCTAGCATCTTATACAACTATTCTGACTTCTGGAGGCCCTGACCTCAGCTTGTTCCTTTTCGCTAGTCCAGTTAATTAAGGGGTCTTTCTTTTTGGTTATCTCAAAGGTTGGTGATATGTTCCTCTATCCGTTCCACCCTTGTTAATCAGTTCGAGGCTGAAAAATCTGCAAATGCTGTAGCTGGCTATTAGTTGTGGAGTAAAGTAATGACTGTGCGTTGGTCTAAAGTAATGTTTTATTTGACTCCACTGTGATGATTTAAGGCCCCAATACGTTTCATTGTACCCTTTCCTTTCTTCTCCGGTTTGTCTGAATTCATCTCTCCCGACTGGAAGTGAGATTTCTCTTGGCAGTGATTACGAGCAACATATAATCACTACGTTTGTACACGGCTACCTGATTGCTGTCTGCAGCTGCCGGCACAGTGAGATATATAGAACTCTCCCAGAGGAGATTCAACTTCTGACCTGGTTCATAAATAGAACAACAAATAAACGAGACACAAAAAAATTCTATTGATCTGTACCAACTACAGGAGGTTGATGTGCTTTTCCAAACCTCTAGAAATTGTGGATTTGATATTATTTCAAAGGCTATATAATGGGTTCTTATATATTTTCTATTTGAATGTACTTAACATTGACCATCTGGGAGTCTTCTTTGGTTTTGAAGGACATTAACCATCTCACATAACATTCTTTCCTAGTTCGGACTTCCTTGAGGCAAGACGACATATATATATAATGCCATGAACCTACGGTGGCCGCTGTGCGTATCCTATCTTTATCATTCATTGTCTGAAATTTCTGTTTAAACATGTGCTCTGATTGAGTGAAGTGGATATAAAGTGGTTATAAAGGGCCGGTTATGTTTATTATGAACATATTTCATTTGAAATAGTAGACGGAGACAAGTTGAGAAATGTATATAACTTTTGTAAGACTTGTAGGCTACAAGAATTCTATAGAAACCAGAACAGCAGGAAAAAAAACCATTAAAAAACAAAGTTGTATCCTGATTGGATTTTTGGAGCCTTGAGTTTAAGCCAATCAGCATTCAGTTATGTCTAATCATGCAAATTACATCAAACTCCAGGGAATGGAATGTTGATAAAGCGTCAGGGTAGATGTGAAACGCGTACAGTGCCCTCTTAGGTATTTAACTTATTTTTCAACCTTCTTCTCCCTCCCCCCTTCAACAGGAAATAAAACAGATGAAAATAAATTAATAAACACCTGTTTGCTGCATACCTGCTATTAAAAAATCAGTTGTATTTACATGAACATTTACTAACAGAGGTAGAGAAAATACCTACGCATTTCACACTAACACTAGTGGTTACCCTTAGAAAATTACACAGAACGTTTGCTGTTTGACTCTTTGTTAATCTGATCTTTTTGTTGGTCTGCCATCAGAGTATTTTTTGCATACATACTGATGACCAGACCAGCGGTGTGCAAATTGTATTATTGGGTTTAAGTAACTATCCCAACAATCCTTTCTAAGTTTAAATCCTTCACTCCACCAGCCCACAATTTCTTTATTGCAATGAATGTATTAGGTTACAAGTGCTCTACAACACACCTTGTATGGTCTCTGTGACGAACTGAGCATCGTCACGTGTTCTTGGAGGGGCCTGCTTGCCCGCCTCTTACCAAAAGACTAAGGGCCCTTTAAAAAAACATGTGAACAGACTTGGTTCGTGGGATTTTATATTTGGTTCGGGAACCGAACAGCCGCACGAACCGGAGACCACCCTGGAGCTTGTTAAGCCTAATTGCTACTTTGTAGCAATTTCCACCGCAGTGTTCTAAGTGTTCGTCTGGGTGGCTGCAATTCCTATGGATAACGAATGCAAGCAGCGGTGTTTGGGCATGAATCTCATGGAACTGAAAACGAACACAGAAACTCCCGAACACCGGTGGACTTCCAGCATCGCCTGCGTTCGGTTCTACAACACTTAGTAAGGCACTGTTCGGTGGAAATGTTACCACGAACAAGGGAAACAAACTCCAGGGTAAGACTATTGACTATGTTGGGTAGTTTGTTCATTTTTAAACTACCAAACTAGTCCGACTGCAAGCTCTGATTCTATGGAACTGTTTTGGGTATGGGTTGGTCGGTCAAATTAGGACTTCCAGGAAATTCTTGAACCCCTGAACTGGTCTGGGTGATTTTTTGGTATGTTGGTTACCCAGATCAGGGCTATCAGGGGGATGTAACTTTTGTGGGTATTTTGTGTGTTTTAAGGTATTTTGGGGGTTTTGTAAAAATGTATGTTTCTGTGCCTGGAGATAATTGAGTTTAATACAGTGCTTGACTCAATTATCTCCCAGGCATAGGGGAGGGATTGACCTATTTTGTATGGGAGCGTCCTGGACCTGAGAGCCAATGTGATTGTGTATATATTTTTACTGTAGTCTACTCTCAGGTCCAGGGGGGAGTGCCCCTTGCATGGGGAACTGCATATAAGGCCAGTTGTGGCTGCCATTAAAGAGATTTGTTTTACCCTTCATGACGTCTAGGCTCGTGTTTGGGGGATTGGAGAGCTATATTCACTCTGGGGATTGCTATAATCACTATACTCCCTTGGATCACAATGATTGCTCTTGTAAGAGCAACCTGCTTTGCTCTCTGGACTAGGGGAGGTCTACCAACTGGAAGCTGGATCCTGGTCTTGGGTCCAGGGTGGGTGGAGAGCAGCGAGGACTGCGGTGGTTTGTGGGGTTTACAGTGGTTATTGTCTTCCAGTGCGGTGCTTATGGTGCTCGCAAGTACTAGGAAGCAGCAACTGACGGAGGTACCTGGTCAGGGTGCCAGGCGGTCCGTCACAGTCTCTATTACCCCAGACTATCCTTATTTTATACAAAAGCAGTGCATTCAGTTAAGTGCTATACTATATAGTTGTATGCCCCATTACGTCAAGGTATGTACACATTTTTTAAAGATTCTTTATCCCTTTAAAAATACAGTTTGTGATTTCGGAATGAGAAGCCTAGATTGGGTCCATTTATTCATACTGAATGACAGTTACCGTTACAACTTCGGTTTCAGTGTTCCCAGCCTGTGACTTTTAAACACACTGTTATTCTGATATTATGACTTATTAATGGTCAGATATTGGCAATTAATCAAAATCCCCTCAAGTCTTAAACCCCTCATATATGCAAGTTTATCTCTCATAAATCCAAAGGACACTAAATGTTTTAAATTTTCACTTTAATTTTTATTTTTGCTTTTAAATTTCCATGTAACTGAGGATTTTACGAACCTGTGACATTCCCCAAATTTTACAGTTCTCTCCCAAACAGAGAGAAGCAGTCCGAGGCTTGCATTGTGTTTAATAGTCTATGCTGACACCAGCAGGAATGTATAATATCATAAACATATTTTTAATAAGACGCCTCGTTAGCGAACGACCAAGGCATACAACTCTGCTTGTTTCCTGGACATTTTGGCTGATTAGCACATTTTTGCAGCTTATTATTTCCTAAGAGATACAGGCCAGTGATTTGTTCTTTTGTCTGAATTTGAGCCCCAAAGCAAGCTTGTTAATTCTTGCTCTGTAATGATCTGCTACACATACACACAGCAAACTGCCATTCGTGCATTCTGCTTGCAAATGATGAACTCTACACAGCCAGCAATAACATAGTAACAATGTGTTAGTCACTGCAATATAAAATACAAGCCCCTTTTTCAGCACTTCAAAAGGAAATGAATGTCATAATTTAATAACATTTGTATAAATCCTTTGGTATTAAGGAGTTAAAGGTGAAATGTCCCTTCTCTGGAAATTACACAACTGAAAAAAACATTGGAAATTACTTAATTATTATAACACAATCATTTGTGCTAACTTTTTTTCATAATATGCTCCATTTTCTTCACATTTATATTAAATATATAGCATATGACATCATAATCTAGTTTATGCCTGGCACAGTCATGGTCCACTTTGCAAATGAGGAGAATAAACAGACACATTGTTTCTATGCTCTCTCTGGGCAGAGCTTATAATAACTACAGGGTACATGAAGTGTCAAAGAATATAAAATGTACACTCACAAGTATAGAGCTTTGTATTAAAGATCTCATTTTCAGATATAAGGTGGTATAATGCCCATCCAGGGATATATAATGAATATACTTGTTCTCCAGCAGTATTCACATGTATAAGAACAAGGAGATGGAATATAGTGTTCTAATATTATATATGGAGAGAATTGAAAATGTACTCACAAAATTGTGAGAAATGGATTTGCTCAATATTTGTAGTGTAAGTGGAACAATCCCCACCGAGGATTTGAAGGTAGTAATCCAGGAATTGGGAAGATTAGGATATTGCCAGGAACCAATGACATAAAATAAATAAAAATATCAATAAAGTCTAGCAGGTTTCAGAAATCGAGGAACCTCAATGCTTTATTGATTGTATAATAAAATAATCCAACTACGCGTTTCACCAATAAGGCTTTTTGGTGTAGGAAGGAAAGTGCCTGGCATTTGCCATTTTTGTACTGTACTGTCAGCTACTGAATACAGTTTTGTATTAGACTTGCTTAAGTATACAGTTTTGGATTGGACTGAAGAGAAGACAATCGGCAGGCGAAACCAAATTCAGCACAAATTACTTCTTAATGGGGTGCCCTCTACATCTAAGTACTAGAAGGGACACTCCTGGCACCCATAATACTTTAATGCATTTGATAGGTTTCAGCCTATTTACTATGCTGTATTTTATTTTTTTACACTTGAATCTTTATTGTTTTTCCATAAAATAAATAAATAGTGCTCCATAAGGCTGCCTCTTTAACCACGTCCCTTAATTCCAGAAAAAGACTTCTGTATCAAAATGGTACCCCAGGTAGCACAACTCAGCCACTGACAGTATTGAATGATATGAACAACAAAACAAGCTGCATTAGAAGGAGAGGATTCCCATAGAAGCAGATATCAATGATATTTTTACCTGTTTGCATTTTCTCTGACTGTCTGTATCCAGATTGTGAAGTAAAAACAGCCACTCTGTGCTGTCACACCACCCTTCCCCACACACACAGTCACCCTGTCATATTACCACCCCTCCCTCCCCTCACACACAGTCACCCTGTTACATCACCACCCTTCCCTCCCCTCACACACAGTCATGTCACATCACGCCCTCCCCACACACACAGTCACCCTGTCACATCAACACAACTCCCTCCCCTCACACACAGTCATGTCACATCACGCCCTCCCCACACACACAGTCACCCTGTCACATCAACACAACTCCCTCCCCTCACACACAGTCATGTCACATCACGCCCTCCCCACACACACAGTCACCCTGTCACATCAACACAACTCCCTCCCCTCACACACAGTCATGTCACATCACGCCCTCCCCACACACACAGTCACCCTGTCACATCAACACAACTCCCTCCCCTCACACACAGTCATGTCACATCACCCCCTCCCCACACACACAGTCACCCTGTCACATCACCACCTTCCCTCCCCTCACACACAGTCATGTCACATCACCACCTCCCCACACACACAGTCACCCTGTCACATCACCACCCTTCCCTCCCCTCACACACAGTCATGTCACATCACCACCTCCCCACACACACAGTCACCCTGTCACATACACACAACTCCCTCCCATCACACACAGTCATCATGTCACACTCATGCTGTGCTGTCACATTACACCCTCCCCACACATACAGTCACCATGTCACATCACCACAACTCCCTCCCCTCACAGACAGTCATTATGTTACACTCACTCTGTCACAACTTTCCTGCCAGAGTCACCCTCAAAAATACACAGGCAGTCTCAGGCAGAGGCACCACTCCACAGGCAATAACCCTCATGCTCACACTGTTACCCCTAGCCCAGACAACACAGTCCCACAATAAACACAACACACTAATGCATCATCAGTAGAATCTGTTCAACACTAAGGCTGTAGGTTCAAATCCTGGCGGGGTTGACTCAGCCTTTCATCCATCTGAGGTAGATAAAACCATTAAATTGGGTAATCATAACAACCCCTGGATGCTTGGCTAAGGTAACATCCCCAGGATGTAATTGAAAACCAGAGTAATCTGAATATACCGTTACTGGTTATTATTATATGATTATAGACTGTGAGGAAATTAATTTTTATTTATTTACAACTGTTTTCTTATCTGTACCTCATTAATTGGTAAATGGTTTATTTTATTTCTGTCCAGATAGCTCCCTATAGTGCCCCTTTATCTGGTGGCCCCCACCCCTTTTGACACTTACCTGAATCCAGCACCGATGTTTCTCTGCGCTGGTTTGGGCTCCACCTCCGCTCCTCCCACACCGTCAGCCGGCGGGGGAGACCTAATGCACATGTGGGGCTTTCCTATGGGGTATTGGGTGACGCTGGATGTCTCCATGCATAGTGTGAGGACGTCCAGCAACAGTAAGCCGACCACAAGTTGCCCAACAACCCGGATGTCCCTCCAGTGGCTGTCTGGTAGACAGCTACTGGAGGTGAAGTTAACCCTCAGAGGTAATTATTGCAGTTTATTAAAAACGAAGTAATTACCATTGCATTGTAAAGAGACCTGGGACACTGCACCCAGACCACTTCAATGAGCTGGGTGCCTATAGTGTCCCTTTAAATAAGGTCATATATAAATGAACTGATTTTATCCCACAAACATGTTGATAAAATAATCCTTACTGCATGTCTGGCACTGTCTATACCACAAGGAAATAAATAAAATATAATACTAATTCTAATGAAATAAAACTCCGCCTAAGAATAATAACTAGTTGTGTGAAGGGCTGTACTATATTTTTCTGGCATGTTTATATTTTTTCTATTGGGTTTTTTCAAGCTTTTTTTTTTTTTTAGCAGAAAGCAAAGTTTCCATGGAAACAATAAAACATTAGTTTATAAAAAGCTTATGATGAGCTGTGGAGACCAGATCATAAGCCAACAGACGACGATGTCCCAGCATGCCTTGCACTGCGTCTATTACCCGCCAGCTGCGAAAGAAAGTGATTCATTCGGTAGATTTCACGAATCTGATAATTGCCCCTCACCCTGTATTATATAAGTGGTGTCTACTAACATTAGTTCACCTTTTTTTAACTAATATAAAAAGTACACTAAACTTCATTTCATTACTAAGAAATCTATCCGGATATGGGAAGTGTTCTATGAATGCTCATTGTACAGCGCTACGGAATCTGATGGTGCTACATAAATAAAATAAATAATAATGCAAAGTGGATTTCAAATTTTACTCAAAAATAGTCAAATTGTAAAAAATATTCTCCCAAATTGTAAACAATGCAAGCCAACTACAGCTACTAAAATGTGAGATTCACTTTGATTTAATATAGGGTGTATTCACTAATTGGGAACTTTGAAAAGCGGGAAAGCGATTGGCAAATATAGGCAAAATAAACTGAACTGGAGCAATTCTACAAATCTAGGACTTTCACAGCCCTGCTGTCTTGTTTACACAAAAATGCAGACTTCTTGTCAATTCTCCACAATTTCCAGTTTAGTAATTAAACCCCATTGTATATCCTCTTAAAAACATGAGGCGATCCCAAACGAATGAATGTACAGCTCATATAGGATATTATATACATTACAGGGGGTTCATTGAAAACAATATGTATTCTTTTCGCTCCCCTTAGAAATAAATAAGTAAAAAGTTAATTTTAAAGGTTACTCAATCTTCCCATGAAGGCTTATTGTGTCTCTTATTTATTTATGAGATACTTTGCCTTGGGCAGGGGATTTTTAATCCAGATTCGAGAGGGATATCAAAGACTGTCTTCAGTCTTTAAAATCCTGGCTTGTGTTTTTTGTTTGTTTTTTAGATCTGCAACATATAATGCTATATTAATTAAATCAATCAGAGGGGGCTGACACCGAAATGTAATTAGCACAAATTATACAGTGAGTCATAAAAAATATATAAACTCTCACAGGAGAAATAGATTTTAAATATGTGACCTTCTTGAAACAGAGCTGCCCTAAGTGTTTATTAAGAAAATCCCACTCCAATATTGTATTTGTCATCCTGTGGCTCGACTTTGAAAACAGTGATGGGGGTGTCAGGTCAAAAAAAAAGCTGACTTAAGCAAATTGAGATTTTTCCAAAGAATTGTGTTGGAATAACACGGATTCTCATTACTTCCCATAGAGACGCTGTTCTACACCAAGACACCAGTTAATAAATTAACATTGTCATTTTGTTACCGATAATTTAATTCTTAATTTGCTCAGATCTTGATGAAGCGCTTAAACTTATGTAGCTAAAAAAATAAAATTAAAAAAATAATTAAAAACAATAAGATTAAAGACAATGACTTAATACATTCATTGGTCATTTCCCCAAAATATATTGTTAATTTCTGATATGTTTACAAGAAGTAATATAAATATGTATTCAGCAAATTTGCACACAAAAAAATATAAAAATATATATATAATTTTTTTTAAGCATAGAAAATAATAAATGACTAAGGAGACTTAAAGGAAAGGGCAGGAAGATTTTGTAGGAAATCAATGTTCATTTAGTTGATCTTATGTCTATTGCAAAGAGAAAATTGCAGCAAAAAACTCAGTTTAAGTTGAAGGAATAGAAGTGATTCTCAGTCTCAGAGCATGATGGGAATTGTAGTGCACAAAAGATGCCCTCCTTGCTTGGAAAAGTGTAACTCAGATAACATGACAGCCAGGATTCCCAGTGAGTTGGCACCAATTTTAAAATCCCCAAATTCACAGCTAAGATTCTCATTAGGAAGGTAATGGGGTAAGGTGTGATAAATCAGACACAAGGGAAGACGTGTACACCGTTACAGAAAACAATGAGTATTTAGAAAATAAAATACTTCCAGCATTAACGATGTAACTCATATAACACAATAATAAAGAAGATTTGTAGAAGCCCCAACCTCTCCCCCCTCTAACAAGGAACAGAAGGATTTGGAGAGAGGAGACAGAGGGATGAGCAAAAGATTGTCTGAATGTGAAAAGGATTGAGAAATAAGTGATACATTTAGCAGACAGTGAGCAGAATGTTAAATGTCCAGTGATGGGGAGAGAACACATGTAATATTCACACATTGCTCCCCACTAGTGTGAGTGTAGGGGCAGGTAATGTGAGTGTAGGGGCAGAAAGTGTGAGTGTAGGGGCAGATAGTGTGAGTGTAGGGGCAGATAGTGTGAGTGTAGGGGCAGGTAATGTGAGTGTAGGGGCAGGTAGTGTGAGTGTAGGAGCAAGTAATGTGAGTGTAGGGGCAGATAGTGTGAGTGTAGGGGCAGGTAATGTGAGTGTAGGGGCAGGTAGTGTGAGTGTAGGAGCAAGTAATGTGAGTGTAGGTGCAGGTAAAGACACACAGATCATCTTCCATAAATACTGGGGAGGGATATAGCATGCATTGCATATAATAGCACATTAAACAGTTCTGACTCAGAGACTAGTTTAATATTAGAGGAATTAACAGACTAAAAACAGCTGCTGTAAGTCACTCACCCACCAGCTCCAGATGTGCAGGGACACAGCACAGGGCTTCTGGAGACAGGGATCTCCTTACCTGTCCACAGCCCCTCTTCTCCAAATCTGCTTCATCCAGCAGCCAAGAGATGGGAGAGAAAGTAGGGGGAGGAGAGGAGGGGCAGGGAGAGGAGGGGCACAGGATAATTAGAGGGGGGCTTTTTTCTTAATTCCAAAATGTGACCAGGTGCAGTGAGAGGGGTGGGGAATGGCATGGGGGCAATGGGGAGAGGGGAGGAAAGTTTTTAGGGAGACATTGGTTGGGAAATATTAGTTTAGATTAAGATGTAGAGATTATTGTAACCCAATTATATATAGAGATTGTCTGCTGGCTACACTAGTAGCACCAAGCCTTGTATCTGTGTGCACGCTATTTGTGTCTGGTGTGTGTGTGTCTATGTGTGTCCTTAGGCTACAGGCATAACTATTGGTGGGTGGGTGGCTGTGTAGGTGGGTGGGTGGGTGGAAAGATAGATAGATAGATAGATAGATAGATAGATAGATAGATAGATAGATAGATAGATAGATAGATATATGCTTTTTTGAGCCTCTACACCTTTTGTCTCTGTTATTTTGTTTGTCAATAACCTGCTGTTTTTTTGTAAAACTGTTAAGTGCTGCGATGTATGTTGGCGCTGTATAATTCAAAATAATAATAACACAGTCATAAAGACTGACAGATATTTCCTATTACAAAGTACCAAACCCATGGCAATATTTTATTGACATATGGCAGACAATGAGTTTGCAGCAGTGCCTCTGTTAATTGATGGACAGAATGTGTCATTTGTGTTAGCAGAAGTAATTTAGAAACAATCAGAAACAATGTAACCAATCAGGTAGCCTATAATCCCTAGCCCCGTGCGCCCCTGGCTCCTGTGCGCCCTTGGCTCCTGTGCGCCCTTGGCTCCTGCGCGCCTTCTGCTTTCCCCCAGTCTCCTGTGAAAAGAGAGAGAATTGGAGGCTGGTAACAAAAGGAGAGAATAAGAGAGAGAATGAGAGATGCTGCAGAGGAAATGGGGGATTCTGCTTTTCGAGAGGGAACAAAAGATCACAAAGCTCCCTGCTAACCTTGAGGAAGCGGAGATTCACTGGCTCGGAAGATGCCTTGTAAAAGATGTCAAATTTCCCGACATTTTGAAGCCATTGAAAAAAATGGAAATTTCCAGAAATTAATTTTTTGAAAAGCATTAATTACAGATTAAAAATCACTTTATTACTTTATGAACGTAAAGGGGTTTATTCACTAAACTCTGAGTTGTAGCGAATTAAAATCTGAAGGACTGAATTCAGACTAAAAAAGTCAAGCTGTGACTATTGACGAGTTGGAGATTTTCCTGATCTGCTATTGTAGCCTTAATTGGTTTTCAATTTACTATAATTGGGTATTTAGTGAATTAAAAAAAAAAGTGTTTTGCATAACTTGGTTTAAAATAAAATGACTATGTTTGGCTTGGTCTGTACAACTACAGCATATTCCGACTATTACTGCAAACCAAATTTACTTTTTTGAAATTTTTATTTTGGTTTAAAGATAGGGAACCCGTTGACTCTGGCAAAAAAAAAAATCAATATTAGTAAAACATAGAAAATGATTCACAATATCAAACTCACTCTCATGAAAAGACATGAGAGAAACGAGGGAAGGGTGAGGAACTGAGTCAAAAACACTCAAATGAATATACATTGCAATGTCTCATTTCTCAGACAGTGCTATCAGTGTAAATTTACACGTTTTCTTCGTATAATCTCTGTCTTCATCATATTTATCGCTAAGCTCATGCACGGTGACAACATTTGGTTTGGCCACATTGATTTGCCTGAAAACCCCCCCCAAATTTAGTTCAGGTAGTTCCAAAATTCGGCCATGGTGTGTTATGGTTTAATGAATTTTGACCATGCAAATAATTTGGAAAAAATGATTTGGACAAAGAAAAGGGTATGAAAATGGTTTAATAAGTGTGCTGCAAAATATATTCATAACATAAAGAGGATAGCATCCCCCCATGTGGTTCACAGATCAAGTGAAAAAAGTTTCCAACAGAGATTAAGAGAGATGGGGCAGTACAAAACAAAAGTCTATATTTATATATATTCAGGGCCGCCACCAGAAATTTTGGGGCCCCTAACGCAGCTCAGGGTCTGGGCCCCCTGGGGCCAGCCTCCAAATACCGCCCACTGGGTCCGCCTCCAAATACCGCCCACAGGAATACACACACAGACACAAACACACACACTGATACAAAAAGACAGAGATACATACTAACAGACACACATACTGAAACAGACACACGCATACAGTCATACATACTGAGACATACACACAGGCATACATAGTGACAGACAGACACATACTAACATACATACAGACACACATGCATGAGGACATAAAGACACATACATACATACATACATACATACATACATACACACAGACATACGTTCATAATGATATGCAGGCATTCATTCATACTGACATAAAGACATACATATATATATATATATATATACATAGACATACATACAGACAGACATACATGCATACAGACATACATACATCGATAGACATGCATGCATGCAGACATACAGACATGCACATACATACACAGACATGCATACAGACACACACAGCTCATTTTCCAGCCACCCTCCTGTCTCTTACCTTTTTTTTGCAGGAGGGTGGCTGGGGATGATGGGAGTCGGCGCGGCTCCCTCTTCACTGCCTGGCTCTCCCTCTTTACCGGCGCGCGCGCTCCTCCTGCGCGGAGTGGGCTGGGAGGAAGTGACCACTTCCTCCCAGCAGCACTTGCTGCTTTTTTTTTTTTAAAGGGGCCCGGTCGCGGCCACAGCGCTGACCAGGCCCCTGGAGATATAGGGCCCATCGGGTGGCCCTAAGTGTGTGGGCCACCCGATGGGCCCTACATGTGGGGCCCGGGCGGCCCGGCCCCCCAGGGCCGCCGGGCCCGTTACAACCGTTATGGTTGTCACCCCCTGATGGCGGCCCTGTATATATTTATTAAATACATAGTTGCTGACTTTTCTCTTGAACTGTGAATACAATCAAAGAATACCTCCTTTTACAGAGGAATGTGTATAACAGAGTGTTTATATACAGATACGGTGATTTCCAAGCTGCTCAATACACTTATGCAGTGGCGTCTCTAGGATTCATTTTTCGGGGGGGCACATGGAGGGCCAGTGACAAAAGTAGGGGGGCACATTTAACCCTGCCCTCGCCGCAGTTTGACCCCGCCCCTGTCGCATGTTAAGCCACGCCCCCGACACAATGTGTTTTGTTTTTTTAATAATACCTGGTGGAGGATTCATTATTTTCCACCAGGGATTATTAAAAAACAAACACATTATCCTTGATACAGTGCCATAGTTGCCAACATTTGAAAAAAAATTTCCAAGGACATTTTGCAGCACAGCTATCAATTACTGTCTGGGTATAATATCCCTGGATAGTCAGTGCTCTCTGTATAATACAGGGTTGTGTTTATAATAAATTGGGACACTCAGTGCTCCCTGTATAGTGCTGCTCTCTGTATAATACAGGTCTGTTTGTGTATACTATCCCAAGACAGAGAGCAGCACTATACAGAGACACTATACAGGTTTAGGACTGCCTCTATCCCGGGATATTTTATACACACAGATCTGTATTATACAGATAGCTGAGCATATACCCCAATCTCTAGACTACTAGTACCTGTCAACAGCAGCTCCCAGACCCGTGTAACAGGGCTAAAGTGTGCGGCAGCTCACACAGATTATTCAGCGGTAAAGTGCACTCGCTGGCAGAGCCAAACTGGGAATCCCTGGGAATCCAAAGCAGCCCTGGAAAAAAAACGTATGCCATTCCTACAAGTCAAAATATATATATATATTACAGTAAGCACACAAGCTCACTGACATGCGCAAATAGGCTTACTGACAGACAAAACTCTCTGACTCACACACAAGCTTACTACAGACACTCACTTGTATAAACAGAAGGCTCACTACAAAGAAGTTCAGGGACACACACACAAGCTCACTAAAAAGACAAGCTCACTGACACACACATGCTCACTAAATAGAAGCTCACTGACACACACAAGCAGTACCATTTTAACAGAGTTAAGGGCCTCTGGGCAAAGCAATACACTGGGGCCCTTCCTACACAACAACTCACAGGAATTTTA